CATTTTTCCTGTTCTGTTTGTTTCTTGTTTGTCTGTTCTGTTTGTTTTGTTTGGACCTATTTGGTTGGTTCTGTTTCCGTTATGATACTTCCGTTGCATCGTTAATACATGAAAATTTTTACATGAAAAATGTTACTGTGTATCACAACGAATGCCACCTGCATCGCAATTTCGTCACGGTACAGTGTACAGTTCGGAAGCAATCATGGAAATTGCATCAGACTCGATCCAACTCGATCTCAACTGCCACTTTGCAATTGCGACGATGAAGCGACGTCGTAAACAACTTGTATACGTACTAAAATACATTCTGTTCGTTCATATCAATGCCAAGTAATAGCAAGTCCGTTTGCGGATGCTCCCAAAATTAGTTAAATATGATTTGTTTTGAAGTATAACTAGCTTTTTTTGATTTAGCGTCGACTTAATAAACTATACATAATTTTTTTATAATAAAAATTGACCTCAGAAGTTAGTGGAATTACATCCATTTGCAAAGTTTGAAATAGATTACCGGAAAGTGCGCGAAATCCGATTCACCCCCTAGTTTGCCACCCTTAGAGGTGGAATACCTTCTTCAAATTTAAATGGGATCAATACTAAGGTACTGTAGTCTAGGCTCTACTCTATGAGTAGAATCACTGGCTGAATGAATAGTTTTGGAATTAGGTGTTTTGAAAAATGAAGTAAGAAAAGAATAGAGCATCTTGATATAACGAAATAAACCCAACGCCGAAAGCATGTAAAAAAGTGCAATAAAGTATATTTTGAAGATTATTCCAGTTTAAATTCATAAAAGTACCTCTCGCTACGCAACCTAAGCTACGCCTCAGTTACAGTACCCTCTTTCCAACAAAAAAAGAATCATCAAAATCGGTACACGAACGCCGGAGTAGTCGTGTAACACACATGTGGGATTGGTAAGAATGGATATCCGAACGTGATGTCATCTTACGATAACATGCATAAGTACTATCCGAACGGGCGAATGAGTCAGATGGTATGAGTGAGTATTTGAGAGAAGAATGAATGAAGATGGTGTGGCTGGAACGAGAAGACGGAAGAGAGAGGACGTGTGCTAAGAATTGCGACTTAAGTTCCTTGTCTTTTTATGTAAAGTTATTTCTAGAAATAAAAGGATATTTTCCAACAAATCGTGGTGCTGGTTGAAGTCCTCCTGATCCTCCTCTCCTCCTCAAGTCCTCCTTTTTTATCAAGACGGTCCAAAAGTCACATTGAAGATTTTATTCACATGCAGTGGAAGAATCTTCGCATATCGTTCTTTTTGTCGCGATTAAACTGCCAATTTTACATAATGTAATTCAGAATTTTCGATTCTGTGTTGTTGTGATGTAAATAATTCATTTTTAGTCCCTACTGCAAAAAATAAATTTTCAGGATTTTCAATGTATGTAATGTAGAACTACCATCACCTAAATTATTGACAATAAATAAGATCTCCAGACGCTTGGGTGAAATAGAGTTATTTCCCCAGACTTCTTAGTTTTAAACAAAAAAATATTTTTTTATCATTTGTGTTCGATTTACTTCGAAAACAACGAAGAACAATAATAGAGACGAAATAAGGGCCACACAACCCTGGCAATTCATCAGACAAATGAGCCTTATATCACTTTTAAATATCAACTCTCGTTTGCACTGAAATCACAAAGTAGAAAACTGAAATAGTACAGCTCCAACAACTGACCTGTGTGTGCGTCTCCGTATATTCCAAAAACATTCTTTATTTATTGTAATAATGATAATATCTCTAATAGGGGGGGCTGTTCCATTCGGTGGTGTGGGAAAAACAGCAAAACATCTAATTGCAACACAACCGAAACCACATTCAAATATTAAATATGTCATTTTTAAATTATCGTCCATTATAGCACAGTTCAAGTTAAACTGGTCGATTTGAAGTGAAACAAGTGACGACACCCGTCAATTGTTTCGTATTCGGGGTGGCCAATCGGAACGCAGTTGTCACCGTAATGATTTGGCAGAAAAGTTTTCAAACAATTAAATGACATTTCGTCTCTATTTCTGGTAATAAACTAGATGAAAACAAATGACCTAAGTAATAATTAGTAAACTATATACTCCGCTTTCTAAGGTAATAATAGCAAGAAAAGTAATTAGTAACGCTCTACTCTTTAGCATAAAATTAATTAAAAGTAAAAATAAAATTGTCTATGTAGACTAATAATACAATAATCAACAAAAGTTAAGTTAGTAATATTGTTCATAAATTGAAATTAATAATACCTGTAGCTTCCACTTATACAAGATTTTAATAACCTCTCAACTAGAACATCCGGAAAACCCGGATGGCCGCCCTAGCTGCGTATGGTGTTTTGAACGTCTTGATCAATTCACGAACGTAGAAAATGTCTAAGTAAAGGTTTACTTAAGAGCTCTCATGCCAAAAAAGTTTTGACGTTGGCTCCGCCCAAATTTGTGAAACAAATGTACGCCTGAAGTTCGCGTGACATGCGACAGGAGATGTTGAATTTTGCGCATTAAAAGTACCAAATTCGTTTTAGCGGAATAACTCTAAAACTAAAGGGATTAAAAAAAATCCGTAGTGACAGTTCTCGATCATGCATAAATATAATTAATTATCTAATTTTTGTCCAAATAACCTGTAGCATTTCGAGGATGAATCGAAAAAATGTGAAAATTAGAGGTCATTTCGTGATTTTTATCTATCGAGGAAACTTTATTGTTTTATGTTTCTGATTAGTATCTATGCTTGAATATATCGTGTAGTTACTCATACAATATTTTATTTTTAACTTTAAAGTGGATATACCCCTCTAAAATCAAATCGAAGATTAGGAACTTTTCCTCTGTTCCCTCTTAAAGATATGGAACAAAATTTATAATGGTAATTTGACCGATCGCGACTGCGTAACAAAGTCCTTACCTTAACCTTGTACTGAATGCCATCGTAATAGCTAACCTGGGTCAGGAGCTCCCAAAGCACGACGCCGTAGGACCACACGTCGACGCGTTCAGAGCACGGCTCGTGGCGGATCACCTCCGGGGCCATCCAGGCCACGGTGCCGGTGAAGCTCATAATCGTGCTCACGTCGTTCCACTCGCGGGACGTGCCGAAGTCGCTCACCTTCACGACCAGGTTATCGGCGATGAGGATACTGTGGAAAGAATGTGGAATTAGTCCTCCAAAGAACATTTTGTCGACATGTTTCGTACAATTAATTGTTGTTCATCGAATTCACTTGAATGTTATAAGGATATTTGTAAGTGTTTGAAAAGTAAATATTATATATAAGATTTCCTAAATATTTGCTTTAACATAGTAACTAAAAAAACAACATTTCCAGAAAATGAGATGAATGTAGCAACTGTATATGTTTTAATCCCATTATAGTCGTCACAAAATAAGAAGAGATCGTTAGAAAACAAGATTTAATTTAAGCAATATAGAGTTTAATATTAAATGATAAGTAAGTATTTTAAATGATCACAATGACAACGTGAACTTGTTATTGTAGTGTAGTTACATTAACAGAGTTCGCAAGGACATTTTTTTTAAGCGAAATTCTATTCAAAATTTAAAAAAAATAAGACTAAGGACGTAACTGTTTTCAGGGCGTTTCGGAGTAACTCAAAATTGAATTTTATTTTTAAACTAGTACAAAAATAATACTTGAAATTTGTTCTATCATGTTATTTGTACTATGCTTCATTAAAATTAATGTACTTTTTAAAAACTCATAAAGTTAATATTGGTTTGTTGACTGTTTCGTTTATTACATTCAAAGTTACATATTGTCTTCCATAGTTGTCAAATTTGATCTTAAATTAAGACGACTATAGCAACGACACAAACAACCGAACTGTGAAATTAAAGTTTCTGTCCTAGTGGGCAATGTAACGTTACGTCACAAACGGACACAGCTTATAAATGTGACGAAAATAATTGGAAGTAGTTAGTAAAAAGGATTTAATCCACAAAATTATCAAAAATGAGTTATTTGTACCAAACGTCCTACAGTCTAACCTCTTAGATCAGCAAAAAAATACTACAAATGGTCAGAAATGTATTTATTGTTTCTCAAAATATTCTCCGTTAGCGTTAATGCACTTTTTCATACGAATGAACCAATTTTGAAAACATTTATGCCACTCCTCCGTGACAAAAACATATTTTTTATAACGCGTAACTGGTTCTTCATTTTTGGAAATAAAAAAAGACACAAGGTGTCAGGTCGGGACTGCACGAGGGATGGCTTATAAGGTCAACGTTGGTCACCTTCAAAAATTCTTTTGTCTGTTTGGCCGTGTGAGAACTGGCATTATCGTGGAGTAAGATGATACGGCGTTTATGGTTGTTTTTACGGAGTTTGTCAATAACTTCCGGCAAACTGGTCGTGTCCCAAACACTATTCACCGTATTCACGGTAGCGTCACAACATATTTAATAAAATTCTGAACAAAACTATCATAGTTGTCACTTTTAAGTTTATTGAAATTCAATTTTATTTTGTGAAATTACTGCACTAGTTTGTTATAATTATTAGAACAAAGATCGAAACGCTAAGAAAAATTAATTCGATCCGGCGAGACTCGAAACAGCACCCTCAGGCAAACCGTGCCAAACGCTATGCCAACTAAGCCACGGAACTAACTAGCGGACCTTACGCTTTTTTATGTGCTTGTTGTAGATCTTTGTTTTTTGTTTTTAACGACTTTTTGCCGTGGCGCCATCTGTGAGAAATTTATTTATAGACAAGAAGAAGGTACCTCTCTCAAAAAGAAGATTTCATAATTACATAATTATGTCGAGTTATCAGGTTTTCGCGATTGTTACACATAGTTTGTAAGTCAATGCACATAGGGAATGAAACTATTTTTCCGGATTTAAATCGCGTATATTATGAAATCCGAAAAAATAGTTTCATTTCCTATATATAATTATGCTTTATATAAATACTTCTTCCGTTGAAATTGAATGTTACTTCCATTCCTGCTAAAGGGGTCGAGTAGGGATTACGTTGAAAAGGGGGAGGCGCCCGCCCAGGCCCGTGCGGAAGCCGTATTAAGCCGCGCAGTTGAAAGCGTAGCGGAGCAACTATACCGTACAAAACTGTAATACCATTTCGACGAAAATTAGTGATTCTATAAAATATGTTTTATTTTACAGATTCACTAAAGCACGCACACATAGTCGCATAAATATAAAATAAAATGCATTTATTTCAGACAACAATAGATTCATAATCATCATCAATCCATTTTTACGTTTCACTGCTGAGCACGGGTCACCTCTCTGGCTTTGACCACAGACATATATCTAGATGGACGCCGCAAGTACAGCAATTTGTATGAAAACCAAGCGTGCCACATTTTTTGTACCTACTATATCAGCTCGCCTAAATCGATTGATTGAACGGATTCATTTTCACATTTCACCATTCAATAAATCGATTCCAAATAGCTTAATTTTTGTTCAAGTATTCGTTGATTACAAATAGTGCAGTAGTTTTATTAATATAATAAAAAAATACTACAATAAGATAGTTAACTCCTTTATTCTACTTGTTTTAAATGTCGATTACTTAAAAAAAAATATTTTAAATAATTTTAAATTTATCACATAACATTTTTTGTAACAGATCTTATCGATTAACTTAAATAATGAAAACGCACGTCAACTTGGGACCGTCGGCAATTGATCAAATTGATGAATAGCAAGACAAATCAATATGTTCATCATTATATCAGCCGGAAGACGTCCACTACTGAACATAGGTTACCCGCCGCCGCCATCGGTTACCAGCCGCCGTTACCAGGTCATTCGTCCATCTAGTAGGGGGCCGTCCCACTGAACGAGTTCCGGTTCGTGGTCTCCATTCAAGGACCTTTCAGCCCCAAAGGCCGTCAGTTCTACGAGCTATGTGCCCTGCCCACTACCACTTCAACTTGCTAATCCTTCGAGCTATGTTGGTGACTTTCGTTCTTCTACGGATCTCCTCATTTCTGATTGAAAATGTTACTGCTGACAAAATATGGTAAAATCTTATTAATCAGAAAAGGTTTATTTAATGACGGCCTCGTGTGAAATTTTTGTGATTTGTTTTTTATTTCTCGGATTTCTAACTCTGCTACTCTGCATATTTGGATAGCATCTTAAGTAGATCACATTCGTCCTCGAAAGCAACGAACTCATGCGTATGACCAACTCCAGGTTTTTGTAAAGGCAGCGCACGGTTAAATCTTTGCATTATACATTTTTTTTGTATTACTCGTACTACTTGTCCGGCGATGTATGTAATTATTTGCTCACTATATTCGGACATTTGAAGCAATGTGCTGCAAAAATTATCGAAATTACAGATACTACTGATTACATATACTACAAAACTGAAACAAAAAAGCGAAACCTTAGTAAACGTTACAACAAAAGAATTATAGAATATTTTTATAATATTGATAAGGCCATAATAATTTTCGTCCCTTTGTTTTCAAAATCGATCAGAATCGAGACAGTGTTGCCTAACGTATACATCACTAAATGTTAAATTTGGCCAAAAGATTGTACAAGCGGGGCCGTACCACGAAACTGTATGCATTATACAAAAGTGCGTTCGTTCGATGTTCATGGCGTATAATGGCAAAGGATCACAAATATATCGCACAAAGTAAAAGCCGCAATGTATTTTTATTGTATGTATTAGTATTATTGTGAACCTTCTTCGACGTGCAGGTTTCATCAGGATGTTTTCCTTCACCCGGATTCGAACCCACGGCCTTTGCTTGAGAGGTGATAGATCAAACCATTACGCTACCACGGCTTTTTTTTCCAGATCCATAAAATGTTAGTGTTACAAAACTTAAATAACTATATTAGAGAAAACCAGTGCTATCCCATCTGTTTGCAACAACTTTCCTTACATATTTCTACCGCCAAGCAGCAACGTCAGCATTACTGTGTTCCGGTTTTGAAGGGTAGGCTAGGGTGTTGGTGAAATTACAAGCACATGGGACTTGTCAACTTATGTCTCAGGGTGACGGGCGCAGTGGTACTGTCACTCAGATCTTTGCGATTTAAAGCTCTGAGCTACACGCTTGTCCATAACACTCCAACTATTATGGACAAGCGTGTATCCATAACAGTTGGAGTGTTATGGACAAGCGTGTAGCTTACCATCAGGCGCTTATTCTGTCAATGACAAGTTAAGACTATTTTCTCGGGAACGGGTTTCTGATTAGGAACGAGGAAACACCCAAAGCCGCCTCTGAAAGTGTCTGTAATAGACCGTTTACGACACTATTCAAAACCATGTTTGGTGGTGGTATCAAGACAAAATATAATTTGACACAGGTTTTGAAACCTAGAAACGCATGTCACCTGCGGCCTTACCATGAGTAATATTATATAATATAATGATATACACTTCATGTAGCGCTGTCTCGCAACTAAACTGAATCGTAATAAGACCGTAGGCATTATAATAAGCACGCTGCACTCGAGAACTAGACCAACTATCATGGAACTTGCACCGTACGTCTTCTTGTTAGAAGTTTCTACAACATCGAAAAATTTGCTCCACAGCACTGCGGGGACTACTTTACGAGCATCCATAGAATTTGTATTGTACACCCAGACTTCTTGTTAAAAGTGCAGTCGAAGGATAACTTTAGCGGCTTCCATGGAAATCGTGTTGTATACCTAGAACATCTTGTCAGAAGTATCTTCTATGTTGAAAATTTTCTCATCGGTAAACAGGATGGAAGGAAAAAGATCGTCCAGGGAAGTACTGCCACCTTACCTATTCCTGCCGTCAGCATTGCTGTATTCCGGTTTTGAAGGGGGACTCGTCAAAAACTCAGATCATTGCGATTTAAAGCTTTGAGTGGCACTGCAACTGTTATGGACAGGCGTGTAGCTTACCATCAGGTTCACGACTTGTTTATTCCGTCACTTGATATGATAAAAAAAATGCTTTAAAAGACTTTACCACCCATCTCAGTCAACAGTGACCATGGGACCTGTAAAGGGTCAGAAACGTTGGTTTGTTTGAAAAAACAAACATACGCGTTTTAAATCCCGAAAAATAGTTTCATTTGCTATGTGTAACAATCGCGAAAACCTAAGAATTTTTTGTATATATCAAGGTATATAAAAAAATGTTCCGTTGCTGATTTGCATGCATCTTCAACATCTTTGGTCCTACTCCAATCCATTTGTGAAGTTATCAGCTTCTGTTTGCAATAGCATCATAATTGCCTCTGTCACTACAGGAGTCATTACGGAAAAATGTCGTCTGCTTCTTTTCTTAACGTATTTGAATTTATTTACTAGATAAAATGTGTAAACATTTTATAGACATATTAAGATATGCATATTTGCACGATAGTTTTAATAACGCAACATCGACCGTCAGTGACTGAATGAATACCATCATTGCCATTCCACTGGCACTCTAGTAGCAATGACTCAACTTTAGCAGAATAACAACTATTATCATAAATGCAATATAATCTCGGTATTGTGTCAATGGAATTACAATAATCAAGAAACTCGTTCGAAATTAATTTTGCGTTCTTGTAGCTTTCATATATTTTTTATTAATTAAAATTTGGCAACAAACATAGACAAACCACAATTTTTGAATCTTTATCTGTTTCTATTTTGCCACAGAATATTTAAAAAAATGCAGTTTACTTAAATTCGATTTTTTTCAATAAACGTTGAGTAAGTTTGCGAAGTCAGTGTTAAAAGATGTTCATTTAAGTGGTATATCTATGTATATCCCCGAGGAGGCGGCTCGGCCACGCTCTGGCAGGCCTGGGAGTACGAGCGCCGATCGCTTGGCACAGTTGTTGAAAGGGATCTCTCTCTGCCGAACGTGGTTCGCGCCATATATATAAGTAAAGAAATATATATAAGGGACCTAGGAGAAGGACACAGACTACTTTTTGTCACAATAATGTTAAAAAGGGTGAAATATGGGATGCAAAATTTGTTTGGAAAACCAAAAACTATGAAAATTAGTATAGTACAGTGGGCTATTCGAGGTGCTTATTCTGCGCAGACGAAGTCGCGGGCACCAGCTAGTTTAAATACATTAACATTAGTATTTTACATTTTCACTTTTTTTATTCTGTAAAATGTGCCGTTTATAAAATAACACAAAAGTACATAATTATTAAGTATTCGTAATACAAAGATCGAACATTTAGAAAAAACACCTTCGATCCTACTGTATTCGAACCGACGTCTTCCAGCGAACCGTGGCAGACGCTATGCCAACTAAGCCACGGAACGAACTAGCGGGACTCACGAATTTTTCTATGTGCTTGTTGTCGGATCTTTGTATTTGGTTTTTCAACGGTATCTAGCTGGACCACGAAATACTTACATAGACTTCTCATAGATGACGCTACGGCTAAAAGTCTAAGGGTCGTATTCTAGAACTCTACTCAATGCTCAAGACAGGATTTGAGTATGGTTTAAAGCACTCGAAATCATACTCAAGTCCCTGCCATTAGGGTCGTATTTCCAGTGCTTGTGTTTCCAGTGCAATCCTGACTTGACCATTGAGTAGAGTTCTAGAATACGACCCTTAGTGTTCGATCTTTGTATGAATAATTATAATAAACTAGTGGAGTCATTTCACCAAACACATTTGAACATCAATTCAGTATAAATTTAACAAAAGTACATACTTGGGGCTTTTGAGGTCCCTGTGGATGATCTTGTGCATGTGCAGATAGGTCATTCCGTACGCGATCTCCTTGGCCCACTTCAAGATCTGCTTGGGCGCGAAGCAGGCTCCGCTGTGCAGGAATTCAAAGAGCGGGCCGTACTGGCAGTACTCCATTATCACACAGTAGTAAGGTGACATCGTGCACACGCCGCGGAAACGCACTGTAACAAATTAAAATGATGAAGCACTGTACCGGACCTAAAAGGTTTTATAACAAACTAGTAAAACTCCTTATGAAAGAGGTCGTCCATAGAAGTACCGCCACCTTACATATTACACCAGGTAATGTGAGCATTATTGCGTTTCTGTTTTGAAGCAACAAAGGTGGTTTCCCACCGGCGAGGCGAGACGAAGATTGAAATTTGTATCTCAAAATTTCAATTCTCTCCTAGCCCTTGGTCTTTGGTGGAAATGGTCTGGGTTGACGAGGAAGGGCGAGACGAGAATTGAAGTATTTAATGATGTTATAACGAACCGTACTGCCGCCTACATAAAGTATTCTATTATTATACTCTTTAACGATTTCTCGCGCGCTCTCGCGCGATCTCGATCTCGACTATTAATATCAATCGCGAGGTTGTGGGGTACGTATGATTTGAGATTTAAAAAAAGATGGTTTCATGTGATTCTTCTTCCGTTAACATATTTAATAATAATAATAGGTTACGGGATATTTACATTACTTCAGCCGCGTATTTATCGCTAGATGAACAGAATAACATTGAATCTTCTTTATCCACACAATCACAGTGCGAGCACGCGCGAGATCACGATGTCTCGCACGAGCCCGCAATGTCTCGCGGAAGCTATAAATGGCAATTTTTGGTGGAAATACGCCAGCGAGATTTCAATTCTCGTCTCGCCTCGCCGGTGGAAAACTACCGTGAAGGTGAAATTGCAGGCACATAGACTTGTCAACTTATACCTCAGGGTGACGCACAGTGTTTTATAAATGTCAATTGTGACGTGCCATTTTATCCAGATTCCTATAGTTCGAACTTATGCAAATGCGAGAATAGAACACTGGGTGACAAATATGTATAGTTTCATCATGACATTGCACCACACAAACAGTCTTTGTAGCCCCTCTTGATTTTACAATGAAATAAAACTATATTGTTCTTTGTGCATCTCATATCTTGGAAAAATTAAAACAGCATCACAAACTGAAAATCTATCTATAACTTTATCTATAACCTTTCCAGAGTTGGCGCTGACCTATTTCCCTGTAACTGTCTGTAAATAAGATATTCTGTAGAAGTAAATCGTGAGTCCATTTGCGGTATAAGTTTTAGTAGTGTCTTGCTTTATGCGCGTGTGGTAGTGATGGAACAGACCTCTGCTTCTGCTTCCCCAACTGTGGAAGTTCCGCACGCTTTATCACATCTGTTTCCGTTTCTGCTTCCGCAACTTTTAGAACGGAACTTTATAAAATTCGCGATGGGCCATGAGGAATAAGAATAATTTATTATGTAAGCGCCGAGACACACAATACCTGATCTTAAAACTAAAATACAATAAACTACAAAATAAAATACAATACCTACAACAAAAAGTAACACAGAAAATTAAATTGCATAGAAATACTCTAGCTAAACACATAATTATAATGATAAAAAAATAAAAAAGTACATTAATTAATGAAATAGAATAGACTTCGTTTATTTGCCAGAATACAGTAATTACAAAGGTCTTAAGTAAAATTAGGTACATTGTATTCAACCTGCAAATATTAATGGAATTCAATGTTTAGTCTCTCTAGTTTCTAATTAATGTAATGAATTTGTAAATTCTAAGTATTCTTTATTACTATAGAAGCAATGTGTCAAAAGCCATTTTGTCAATTTAAATTTAAAAGTGTCCTTGTAACAATTTATTTTCGTTTGGTAATTTATTGTAAATAATTAAACATATGTTGAAGTAGTTATTCTTATAAATTACTTTATGGCAACGAGGTTGGTATAAGAGATTCATAATTTTTGCTCTAGTTTGCCTTTGAATGACTTCACCGCGTGTTTTAAAATATTGAGGATGAGAGTTGACAAATACGCAGATATCCCTAATGCACATGCAAGGCAAAGGTAATATGTTTAGTCTTTTGAACAGCGGTTTGCAACTGTCATCGAACCACGCGCCGCAAATTGCTTGAATACACTTCTTCTGGACTTTAAACGCTCTTTCTAAGATTACTGATTTACCCCATAGTACATAACCGTAGCTGAGCACGGACGAAACGTAGCCGTGATAGGCCGTCAACGCAGCTTCTGGCGAGACAGTTTGCCTTAGTCTTCGTAAAGCGCAAACAAATCTGTTTAGGTTCATGCACTGTTCGATATGTTCCTTCCAGTTAAGGTTCTTGTCGATTGTTAACCCAAGAAAGTTAAATGTGTCTACTTCATCTACATTATCAGAGTTGTAATTAATTTTAACCGGTATGGGATTTGAGTTGTAAGATCTAAATGTCATAACTTTGGTTTTACTTATACTAATATTCAAGTAATTGACGTCCATATAACTTATTACGTGTCAGTGCTTTATTTACGTCAATGTTAAATGCGTGTCGCGTGTCGCGACACACGAAAACGGGTCAAAAAAAAAGCAAGCTCAGCTATTAGCTACTGGAGAAACCCTGGAGAAACCCTGAGACACTCACATAGACAACCACAAATCACACAAAAAGTCACGAGATAAATAAATGCAGGCCATACAAATATTTCTCCCGGCCCAGGAATCGAACCCGGGACATCTGCGTGCAGACCAGCACATTAACCGTTCGGCCACCGAGGCACTTTATAGTATTTACATTTCCGCTTCCGCATCCGCTTCCGTTTCCGCTACCATTTACTTTTGACATCTGTTTCCGTTTCTGTTATGACACTTCCGTTGCATAACTAATATTTGGTATTGCACTACGAGCAGCACACATCCCTTCATTCATCGCCTTTTTACTTCTCCCGTCTTTCACCTGTCGTGATCTGTTCTAATGTATTGTGTAAGCTGTATTGTGTAAGAAGCTGTAAAACTAAATAATAAAATAATAAAAAAAAAAAAAAAAAAAATAGTTTAGTACGTAGTATTTTGGAGTACTGCTGTGGCATTTGGGAACCACACTACGCAACACACTCCTTGCGTTTAGAATGAATACAAAAAAGATTTATTTGGCACTTAATGTATTCCTGTGGAATTTCCAAGAAGAAACTCTAATGATATCAGCAGCGTTTATCACATTTCAGTATTATGTCATTAGATAATCAAAGAACTCTCTTGAACATGTCATTTGGATCAAAAATGTTTCATCACGAGATGGATTGTCCTCAGTTGCTTAAAAAATTCAAATTGCGTGTTCCTGTAAGGTTTCCTCGTAACAAAACCACTCCATTTAGTTTTCCATTTCGCAAAACCGTATCTGTCTCAAATGCGCCAGTTGCAAGGTTGTGTACGACGGTACATAATTACAGAGACGTTATTGATATTCACCATGACTCTCGTCTCAGCACTCGTGAAATAATTTTTAATTTATTAAGTACTTTTTAGTACGTTTTAGTAATTTAATTTATTGCAAACACATAGAAAAATTCGTGAGGTTCGTTGGTTCGTTCCGTGGCTTAGTTGGTATAACGTCTGGCACGGTATGCAAGAAGACGTCGGTTCGAATCCGACCGGATCGAAGGAATTTTTTCTGAGTGTTTTTTCTGAGTGTTCGATCTTTGTATTAATAATTATTAAGTACAGTCAAATAATTCAATTGTAAAAGTAGTGTACGCATCAATTTCTATTCATATTGTTATTTCTCAAAAGTGCTAATTTTATTTTAAATTTTAGTTATACTAAATATATAGTTATGTTTTAGTGCATGTTGTGTTTACCTCTAGGGATCGTATTCTAGAACTCTACTCAATGCTCAAGTCAGGGCTTGAGCAGACTTGAGTATGATTTCAAGCACTGGAAATACGACCCTAATGGCAAGGACTTGAGTATAATTTTCAGTGCTCACTGCAATACTCAAATCCTGACTTGAGTTTTGAGTACAATTCTGGAATACGACACTAAGGGGCGTATTCCAGAACTGTACTCAAGGCTCAAGTCAGGATTTGAGCAGACTTGAGTATGATTTCAAGCACTGGAAATACGACCCTAATGGCAAGGACTTGAGTATGATTTCTAGTGCTTTGAATCATAATCAAGCCCTGACTTGAGCATTGAGTAGAGTTCTAGAATACGACTCTAGGGGTCGTATTCCAGGATATACATATACTCAAGTCAGGATTTGAGCAGACTTGAGTATGATTTGAAGCATTGGAAATACGACCCTAATGGCAAGGCCTTGAGTATGATTTTCAGTGCTCACTGCAATACTCAAGTCCTGACTTGAGTATTGAGTAGAGTTCTGGAATACAATCCTTAGTGTTTGTGGCAATTACATCGCTTGTAAAGGTATGATAAGACATTATAAGTAATATTGTACACAGATGTTGGTAAACCCAATAAATATATGTATAAAATAAAAAATTGTGTGTCATATCACATGTATTATGTGTCTAACTAATTATTCCTTTACATATAGCTTAACACTAACTATGCACATTATAACACTACCTCCTAAACTATGCGACCAAATATAACGCGCTTTAAAGGGAAAATTATATCTTTGAAATTCCTCGCATGATACAAATGACCCATTTTTGTAAATAAAGATTAAAAGTGCACTTATTTCTTTTTTATATTACTTATTATTTATATTACTTATTTACTTATTATATTTTAAGAAGGGGGTATTATGCACTCTATGTTTATCCAAGAATATATAACCGGAAATAGGGACAAAATAAGGGCCATCCGTGTCAGGCAACTCTCTTAATGGGCCGTATATCACTTTTAAATATTAACTCTCGTTTGCGCTGAAATCACAAATTAGAAAGCTGAAATAGTACAGCGCCAACAACTGACCTGTGTGTACCTCTCCGTATATTCCAAAAACATTTTTATTCATTGTAATAAAGATAACATCTCTAACTATGGGGGGCTGTACCATTCGGTAGTGCGGGAAAAACAATAAAACATCTAATTACAAAACAAACGAAATCACATTTCATCGGTAATCAAATATTAAATATGTAATTTTTCAATTACCGTCCGTTATAGCAAAGCTCAAGTTAAACTG